TAGACTGGCTGCCACTCAAGGCAGCAGAGCTTAATCTGCTCTGCTATTTAACCCATATCTTGAAAGTAGCAAGTCCAAACAAGCTATGTTGTTTTTATTACATTATTGATACTTGCTATAAACAGCACAATTGAATGACAAGGGTTGAATTAGATTCTATTTATATAGAAAATGCTGATTAATTAAACTTTATACAGATGTCATGTGATTCATGTGTGACAGTATTAGAAAATGTTAGAAAAACTATAATATTTTAAGATTTATTATATTTTAAAAAAAAAATCAAGTTCTTGTAATTTTCAAATTTAATAACTTCAATTTTTTATGTATTTTAAATACTTTATACAATAAAATATAATTTTGAAAACTCTTATGCACCTGGCACAACATACTTTGTAATGAATTTAACATATTTTTTCATCGTTATCAAGTCTTGTGATCAGGTGTGGTCATAGAGCTGCTGCACAAGTGGGCACTTGACCAGCTCCCAACATACATCTCTGTTGTGTGCCAATGTCTGAGACCCTTGTGAATGATCTTTCAGTCCACTCGTTAATGCTATCGGACCATATTTGTTTTTACTTTATCTGACTCTTCTTCCTTTGCTCAAGGTGGTACCTTGTGGGTTGACAGTGGAATGATTGTTGGCTTTTATGACATGTTCACACCATTTCAACTTTCTCTTCTTGACAATGGTTATGAGGTTTCCCAATGGACCTGTTTCTTATCTGATGACGTCTCACACCGTCATTTGAGAGGCAGTCTATGTAGATGTCTAGGATGGTTCTGTAAGTTATTTTTTTAATGCTTGCATTCTCTACTGTTCTGCTGTTAATGTCTAAGATTTGCAGGCACACAAAAAGATTGAGATGGCCAATGTATACCACAGTCTGATATTTGATTTCAGGCAGATGTTCTTGTCTTTGTGACAGTTGCCATTGTTTGTTCTTCTCTTGAAATTAATTCTATTCTGGGGGATGTTTCATTTAGGTTTCCTCCTTGCCAACTAGACCTATGTTGTCTGCAAAGTGAAGGTATGTGATAATGCTGACTGTACCACAACGTCATAAGACTCCTTTTTTTTTTTTTTTCTTTTTTTTTCTTTAAGGTAATTCTTCAATTCAGCACATCATGGCTATTTGATCTCAAATGACATTCATACATACAAATTACAGTATTGTCATTATAGGGTATAATGAACGCAAAACAAAATTACATTGATTAAAAAAAGATCAACATTGAAATGTTAATAGTACATATTTGAGTAAACAAGCTTTTAAGATGTGTAAACATTTTTTTTTTTTTTTTTTTTTTTTTAGTTCTTTGGTGCATAAAATGCTTTAATTTTTGCTTTTTTTTTTTTTTTTTTTACAAAAGCTGTAAACAAATTTTGCATGAAGGAACTTTATTTAAGAAATATTTGGAGAAATACTTGTATAATGACTCATAGTTGCAGGCATTTTTACAAATCAATATTAATACAAGGATCTTTTGATTTAAAGAAAATAAACTGTAAAATATTTCTAACTTAGAAATTTTAAATAATTTATTACAAAAGTTAACTTTAAAAGGCAAGTATTTAATTTTATATAAAAGTTTGAAATGCTTTGTAAAAACTATGACTGGTCAACTGCAAATTATACAAAACTAAATATTATATAACTGAAAGCAACTGTTCGATTATTGAAGCTCTGAAATAGAAGTCGACACCTGGTGCTGGGTAGGTGAGATCTATTTACTTATCAAATCTCCTTGACTTATTGAAATATTCCATTGATGTCTGGACAACAGTACTTTGATTAAAAAAAAATAAATAGGCTTACCATATGCCCCAGTTTACCCAGGACTGTCCTAGTGCTATTTATAAGTTGTTTTATTGTGTATGTGACAGCTCTGAAGCTTGGAGAAGGGGTGTTCGGTCATAAAAATAAGTTATGAAAGAAAACTAAACTTAAAAATATTGAAAATTATCCCAGTTTGGAAATTGATAAACTAAAAATAGACAAATCCAACAACATAAGTTGAAAAGTGTTAAAAACACATGGTTTTAGAAATTCTTGCAAAAATCTAATAGTTGAATTTTAATGAAATTTTCAAATGAATGAAATTTTCAAATGAATGAATTTTTTTTTTTTTCTTTACATCCACATAATTTGAAATTTCAAGAAATGAAAATTTTAGCCTGTTCATATTTATATTAATTAAAAGTAGGACTTCTTGTCGAATTTAAATCATCGGTTTGATTTTGTCAAATAGAAATGCCATTTAGTGAAAATCTACTCTGAATCATAAAATAAAAAATGTAATAAAACTGACATTAGAGAAGCTTTTAATTGCCTTTATAAGTTATATTAAGGGCACTATTGTCTTAATAAAAATCTTTCAATGAATTTTTTTTTTTTTTTTTTTTACAATACAATAATCAACTTTACAGAATGTGAAGGAGTGCTGATTTGCATAACTAAACTCTTTTGGTTAAAGCTTTATGGCTGTTGCCTCTACAATTATAAAAAAAAAAAAAAAAACCTTGTTGAAAAACTTAATGCTCTTAAATCATTATCAACCTTGAAGGAAGTTACTGACAAAATTTTACTTGTACAATGTAAGTACAAAACCTTACTCTGCAATGTTGCCTTTTAAATTGTTCTGGTTGATTATTTCCATAAAGGACATCACTTTGGGCCCAGCCCTCTGTTCCATCCAAAATAACTACAAGCATCACATAAAGCTCAGTTTGATTTCTTTCATCTCTTTGGCCAATGTTCTTAATATTTTACATTGTTTCTTCTTGCATTTGTAACAGCATCTTCAAATATTTTCTTGCTTATTAACCTTTTAATTTTTCTCAATTTATAACATTTTTTAATAATACTTGTTCAGATCTTGACAATGTTTTCAGTCTTTTTTGTTTTTGATATTCTTTCTAATTTTTTGCAATATACAACATTGTGTTTCTATCACTCTGTAACTTTACAGTATCTTAGTTTCTCTTTTGAACAACTTTCGAGTCTTCATATATCTGAAATTAAAGAAATAAATAGCAATAACTATACTGTGATATGCATTTAGTTACAATATGATTAACGAACCGGGAGTTGTATAATCTTATATCACCAAATAGTTAATTGTAAATATTTTTACTAAAACTGATTATAAGCTTAAGTTCATGTGATATATTCATTAAATATATCCTGAAAATTTTAATTGTGATTAATACCAATTTTAATAAGAAAACATTGATTTTCATAATATAATTTGATATAGTGTAGAAAGTATCTTTAAGTGGTAAAAATTAAATTGTCATTTAGTTGTATGCACATCTGCTTTAATACTGGAACTTATTAATATTCAGTAAGTGCATCACGTTTACTGTTAATTGTACAAAACTTACAAGATTATAAAAATATTTTAATCTATATAAGCTATGTACTCTGACATGTAAGATTCACAAAGTTAAAAGCAACAGAAGCAGTCTTATTTGTAATTGCTATTAAATATGACACTTTTTTTTTTTTCCTTTTCAATGTCAAATCATTCCTTCTAATATTTTTTTTTTTTTTTAAGGAGCGATAATACTAAAGTTGTATTAAAAAATTTATTTTAAAGTGTAGAAAGATTTAATTGAAAATTGTACATTCAGATTGAAATTATAAGTTAACAGTTATCTGTTAAATCTTCAGATGTGTTAAAATCATTCTGTTGTCTCAAAATGTGAATGTTAGATATTGATCTTTAGATAGGATTCTTCTATTGGTTTCTGAATCCTCATCTTAATTGCCTTACTAAATAATATTCTAACTTGTTAATTTTCCACATTTTAAGTCTTGCAAATGCTTGTCTATGCTGAATAGCTAGAATCTGTTGGATGTTTGTATACGGTTTCAAGTGTTGACACTCATTTGTAAAATCAATAATACTTAGTATTTTCGCAATTTTTTATTTATTTATTTATTTATTTTTTTTTGGGGGATGGGGTTTAGACTCTACTTTGACTTAAATATTAGGAACCTTCCATTTTAAATACACCATGCTTAATAAAACTAAAACGATTTTGCAGTCTGAAATGTTTAAATGAGAAAAGCCAAAAAAAATTTCACCCAGTTACAAAATAAGAATTAAAAGAAAAAAAGGCTCATTTGATAAATGAAGTGTATTGATTTTGTTTTTTTTGTTTTTTTTAAGCTCATGAGCAAAGGAAGTTTTGATTTGCTGATCTGTTATAACATAAGGGAGAGAACTTTTAACAGTACTGTTTATGAAGAAAATAGTGTTGTTATTTTGGTGATGTACCAGATGTACAAAAACAAAGTTAAATATACAAAATATGTTGGAGGATTGTCAAATTGGTGAATAAAAAAAAAAATGGATATGTATAAAGAATAGAACTTTGGAAGAGGATATAAACTTTATGAAAAACTGCCTTTTAAAAGAAAATAAATCTCTAAAGCCCTTTTTATATTTTTGCATTAACACAACTATCATAGCTACTCTTTCTATATATTTTTATGTACAGATCCAGTTTCCATATGTTATGCTCTTCAGAGAATTTCCATGTTTCCAATCATCCTATATCTAAACCTGTATTTTACATTTCATCTTAAATTTGAACTTCTCTCACGTATATATATATATATATATATATATATAATATATATAATCTTATTAAAGCAGTTTCTTTCTTGAGTCATTTTATTTCTGTTTTATTCATAAAAGCTGCCCACATATTAGCTTCTGTATTTAATTATTTTTTTAATATCTTGTCCCTATTTTTCTCCTGTTAAAATAAGTAGCATTTTTTATGAAAATAAGACCTGACAAAACTGTATAAACAAGGATAAAATAAGAATTGGAAAAAAAATTTTTATTACTAATATGTTTATCTGATATTAAAAAATAGTGATTTTATAATTATTCTAATATTAATACCTTTTTTTTTTTCATTTTTAAATTTTAAATGCTTCTCAATTTAGAAAGTGACATTGTTTCTTTCTTTTTCACAGATTGATGAAGTACCCGATGGAGGAGTTCGACCTCCAAAAGGGAAATTCCCTATTTTCTTCTATGGTACCCATGAAACGTAAGTTATGCATATTATAATTTTTCCTTGCCACTCCATATCACAATAGCTGTGACTGTACTACTATATTTAAATCCTAAATGTAATTTACATCATGTGCAAGATGATTCTTCATTAGAATTAAAATGAAACTATAGTCTTTTCTTAATTTATCAAAAATTCTATAATTTTTATTAGTAGAATAGAGCAGTTTCAAGATTTAATCTTTTGAAAATAAGCAGTAACTCTAACAGACCTTCCAGTATCTAATTTTCTTAATATTTTCATTAGTATCCAAATAGGCACAAGAAAATAAAAAATTAAACCAATTAAATAATAATAATCTTTCAATGGAAATTATTTCTGTAAATTTGATCTTTTAGTCATTTGTACTCCTTTCATTAAGCATGCAATTACTTATTTGGACTTCATGTTGTTCTTAAATATTTCATCAGCTTCAACATTTATCCTTAAAATATACTGGTTATTTGAATTTAGTACTTGACTAAACTTTTACATTATCTTATTACTTTTGTTCTGTACTGTAAAGATTTTGTTACTTTGTACAACTTCAAAATGCAAAAAATATTGAATACAGATATTGTATCTGGTTTGTCTTTTGTTGATTGTTGTGATTTTACATTTAAGCTTTAAAATAGAAAAATCAGTTTTTTCATTCTCCATATGTGAATATATTAAACTCTATAAAGTAAAGGATCATATTTTTAATCTAGAATTTTCTTTACAGAAGTTCTGATGCAGCTTTCATAAAAGCATTGAGAGTATTTTATATAAAATCTCTACCATCTGAATTTTTTTTTTTTTACAAGCATCTTTTTCTTTATTTCCTCAAAAGTTGTTATTATACTAACTTTGGCATCCATAAAAATGTTTTCAAATGGAATTTTTCTGTTCTAGTGGAATATTGTTAGGCACTAATTTTAAATGTAGAGCATTGTAGATGTAAATATCTAAGATACATCAATAATCATGTGTAAATCTTGCAACAAGGAATAATGATCTCTAATTTGGGAAGCATGGTTTCTATATCATACCATTTATTTTATAATACAAGCAACACTTAAAAACATGTTTTAATATGAATATAATAAAACCACTGGATTTGAATATTGCTATCATATCTGGTCTGGTGCTCCTTTTTCATGTTAAGGCCACTAGAGTTTCTCAGAAACAAATTAAGAAACTGTAGTTTGTGTTCACTTATGAGAAAATCTATTTCATTTTCTCGTCAGTTTTCAGATTATACCCAAGAATGATGTTGTCATACCTTTCATCATTTTGATCCATACTTTGAAAATTATAGTATTATTCTGTTATGTCCTAAAACATTCTTCACTTTCAATGTAATAATTTATCTAAGAAATTTTCTATTTCTCTCTTTTAATATACAAACAAATTTCTTGACTATTGTCATCTGGAGTGACAGTTCATCAAAGGTTAAGTGAAAGTAATGATCTAAAATTTGAATGTATAAATTACTGAAATATTTGTGATAATTTAGTTAGCTAAGAATTTGCATCTTTTTCTAAAATGTTTGTAAAGTTTTTATTCTTTTAAAACCAGTCAAGGTAGTGTGTCAGAAATGTTTTAACTCCTCTTAAATATATCTTTGTGAATTTAGTGTATGGTTTACATTAGTCACTTAATTGTCAGCAGAAATGCTAATTTTAGAAAATTAAACTGTAACTTTCTCTAGTCAACTAATTGTTAGTGACCAACTAATTCTGTTCATGTTATTCCTGAAATAGAAAGTACTTGTCATTTTCTAGAAGCAGTTTCCCATAGACATAGTAATTTGGGATTATAATATTTAAATCTGAGTAAAGATCAATATCACTGAGGAAAAATATTATACTGCTTGTTAGTATTTTGTATTCTTAATACTTGTATCTCCAGAGAAAGTGTAGCATGTGTTTATATGAAAGGGAAATCTTTTATAAGCAATTCACTTTGAAAAGTTTATTACCCCAATTTTGTAGAAAGATGAGCCACTCTTAAACATACTAGCCTTCACCTTTGTTCCTAAGTTGATAATTTTTTACTCTAATGCAAGATTATACAAAGTTTGACTAAAATATAGCTTACTGTATTAAATTTTACTTAGGATTCTTTTGGTGTAATTTGTCATTGTAAATTTTAATGGAAATGCATTAAATAATTACACAATCTAATTTTCTTTTTGTCATATTACTAGATGATTTCATAAAACCTTTATATATATATATATATATATATATATATATATATATATATATATATATATATAATGTGTGTGCTCCCTCTTGTAGGTTGAGCACTTTGGAAGAGGGGAATTTGTCGGCTACTGCTGATTAATGCTAAAAGGTCTTCACTATGAATTGAGCACTCTGGTAGCTGGGAATGCTTATATCTCATATAATGCATTAAAAATTCCCTTTCTTTGCGGTGAGCACTGATGGCCTAAGGGTTAAAGTCTCCAACCAATGTCAAATCGGTTGGGTGTCAACTCCAGCTTGAAGCAATTTGCATACGGCAAAACAGTCTGTCTGTGGATCACACACATATATATACATGCACACAATAATAATTTATTTATTTTTAATTTCACTCCAACCTTACTGGGAATGAAAGAGAATGAGAAAGCTATTGTGGAGAAAGAACAATGGAAGAATAGGGTTCAATGAGACAAGAGATGACAATTGGCGTTGTATTTAAATTTTAGAAGATTGTAGGCAGTATGGAATGAAGGAACTACTAGAATAGAACTTACAATTACATGTAACTAATTCAGCAGTAAAAATGATGCTGCCTAGCTGCCAATCTAGTAGTACACTTAAATTTATGTACTCAAGATACCAAGGAGGGGAGCTCATTAGATTAATTGCCATGAAAATATTTATAGAAAAGACAGTTGAAGTCCATGAGAAAGTGAAGTTGTGATGCCAGATCAGGAACCAATTACATTAGTGATCATTCTTTGGATTTTGTTGAAAATCTTGAGATATATGGTAGGGGCATCAGACTAGACATGACGGCAATATTTAACGCTCAGACAGATGGTAGATTTATAAATGTGTAAGATTGATTCTGCCAAGAACAATTGTCTGGCACAACAGTGAACCAGCTTTCCTAGCAGCAACGCTAGCAATTGATTCAATATAATCACTCTACTTCATGTCAGTGGAAAACTTGATCAAGAAGGCACAATGAGCTGCTCTCCTGATGAAAGATAATAAAAAAGAAGGTTCTCTATGGTGATTAAAAGATAGCAGTTCGGTGGGTGGGAGGTAAATTTTATAAAGCATTCCTTTGTCCAGTTAACCACTGTTTTTCAAGAATAGCTGACAGTTTTACTTTGTTGGACCAGATCTATTGGACTCAGTATTGTGTGTGTGTGTGTTACATACACACATGGGCCATTCATAAAGTACTAAGCCTCACCGAGAAAGAGTTGGAGAAACAAGAATTTTTCCCTATTTTTCAATATAATCCACCTTGACATTAATGCCCCGGTTCAAAGATGCTTAAGCATTGCAATCCCATCACCGAAAAAGGAGGCATCCTGGTCCTTCAGAAACTCCTCCACAGTACATATGAACTCTTCATTGTTTCCAAAAATGGTGACCATGAAGGTGGGATTTGAGTTTAAGAAACAGGATGAAGTCAGATGAAACTAAGTCTGCTGAATAAGGTAAATGGGTTAGCAATTCAAAGCCACATTTGGCTGCTTCAGCTACTGCATCCTGAGCAATGTGAAAAGGCATGTCATCCTGGAGCCAAGAGCACACCTGCCCTCACCTTCCCTCTGCGTTTCAACTTGATTACGCCTTCAGAATCCCCATAACAGAAGCCATCACTTTGCCAATGGGGGGGGGGCAGTGTGTTTCCACTGTATGCTTTGAATCTTTGATTCAGGTTCATAATGGTGAACTTGGTTTCATCTTGAGTTACTAATTTGCACTGGAAATTCTCAGGATCATCCTGGAAGCAAGTCAGAAGCGTCCTCAAACTGTCTGCCCGTTTTAGCTTCTGCTCTGGTGTCTGCATCCTTCAGACTCATTTTGCAGACAGTTTGCTCATCTCCAACATCTCGGTTAAAACAGTATGCACTGAACAAACTCATGCCTATGAACTTAAGTATTTGCTGGACAGTAAGATGTCTGTCATCCAAAACGACATGGCATTGACTTGTTCATCAGTGGTTGAGGTTTTTGGACAACCTGACTGTGGGTCATCTTTTGTGCTGTCTCTGCTCTACTTGAATGCAACAACCAACTTCTTCAGTTGCATTGGAAGGGGAGTCTTCAGCAAGTGTCTGTACCATGTCTTCATGGATTTCCTTTCTTTTGTAGATACTTTATGGCTGCTTGGACCTCTGTTTTGTCCATTTTTAGATTTGTTGTGCACTCCTTGTCTTTGCATGGGCTTCACCTACACAGAAATTAAGACAGAAATCTGAATTAGTTTTTCTAGTTTTATAAGGAGTGGTAGTATGTTGCCAAAATAAATGTTCAGCTCCTTTCTGAGTGAGGCTTAGAGCTTTTTGAACAACCCTTTTTGTATATTTCACTCACCTTTACACCCTGCTAACACCTTATAAATAATGGACTATTCCATGTTTTGATTGCATGGGGAGAGATTAAGCTGATAAAAACAGATAGTACACTTTGATCTTGGCCAAACGGACGAGAGGGGATGGCAACAGATAAAAGTGATATTTTTCAGACACAGTATTGAATGATGTAAATGGAGTAAGATAAAAACTAGTTACCATAAATAAAATAACATTGTCTGCTGAATTATTTTTAAATTATTATTAAGAGAAGTGTTCTAAGAGGGATTTGGCTAGGAAGAAATTAAAGAAAATAAGTGTTTAACATCTCCTGCCAACACCTCTATAAATAATGGACTATTCCATTGTGATTGCATTGGAAAACAAGGCATATGAATGACAAAAAGAAGGGAAGATAGAAGTGTTTAATGGCTGTTTCAGTGAAATGCAAAAAAAGCTGTTTTCAGATCTTTTTATTTGTACTCATTTCTTAAAATAACGATGCTCAAATATTTTAATGATGTGATAGTGGAATTACTATGGATATTTTAATGTTGCAGAAATTGCCATGAGCTTATTCAATCATTAACTGAAGAATTAAGATTTATCAGAAAATTAAAATAAGAAAATGTGTAATTTTAATGGGTCTTTCTAGGTTTTAAAAGTTTTTTTTTAGTAAATTATGTGAAATTCATACTGATTGCAGTAGTTTTACAGCTCTAAACACAAACCAAATTTATTAAAGAATGTGCATCTCCTGCAGAGCATGTACATAGTGAGCTGTTAGTTTGCTAATAACTTCTCTTTTGCATGATTGTAATACATTTTATCACAAGTTTCATTATAGTTAACAGTTTCATCCAAAATCCTTTTCTCTCACAGTTATGTTTGCTATGTTGATGTTAGGATATTGAGTCAGATTTAATAAGCTCAAGAGAAATAATGCTGTATTTCTCCACTGATCAATGATCAGGTAAAACTAGGGTTTTGAGGAAATTATTTGAAGTTTAAGCAGTTTTCACTATTTGCAAGTTTGTAACACACTCTCCCTATCACTGTTTCCTCTTTTGTATCATACAAAACTTGGTAAATGTCAAAAATACATAAGACATTTTAGAAAATGTAATCTCTATAATAGTTTGTTTACAAGTGCATAGAATTCAATTAATCTCCATGTTGATGTTAGGTTTTGTTCTCTCTTTCCAATCTTACCTGTGCTAAATTACGGCATAATATTTGACTTAAATTCTCATGTTTTATGACATTACTTAAATAAAGCAGGTCCATATATTAAAAAATTGAGGCTGGGGTTAAACCTTCTTTAGGCCATGGCCCTATGTCAGAATTTGGGGGGGTCATGTTAGAAGACTGGGGTCCTATTCATATTATCAATATAGTAAAATTGATGCTTGAATTTTACAAAGTTATTGAACATGGTTGTTGTTTGAAAATGTGCATATGTAATTGAAATTTTTTTTTTTTTTTCTTTTTTTTTTCCTCCAATAAACATAGGGGTAAACATTTGATGTTGATAAATATTTATCTTAAATCCTATTATCTTACTCCTATCAATTTATGTGAAATTTTCTTAATTAAAAATATATCCATTTATACTCCCCTCCCACCAAAAAAAATTTCTTAATATGCAAAACAGTTAAGTTTAATAATCCTGTAAAAGGCGGGGGTCAATTTGGTACTATACGTGTATTTTAGCACCCCCACCCTCTAAATTGATACAAAATATCAATATTTCTATATTCTGACAAGTGTCATGGCCTGTGAAAAGTCTTAAAGAATGATAATGTAAAAATGTTTTTTACAGGTGGACATGTCTATTTAAGTAGTGCTGTTTTATTAACCAAAGTTCATATTTAAGATGAAAGAAATAAAACAAACTTCAAAAATTGTATTTTTTTAAAAAATTTTTTATTTTTTACATTTTTATTCAATTTGTATATCTGTATAGTATTTTTATATACCATTTTTTTTTTTATCAACATATATATGCAGTTCACTTATCAGTTTTTATTTTTATTTATTTTTTTTTTCCAGTGCTTTTCTTGCACCTAAAGATATTTTCCCATATGATAAATTTAAAAACAAATATGGCAATCCTCAAAAGCGAAGAGGATTTAATGAAGGATTATGGGAAATACTAAACAACCCAAATGTTAAGTTCCATAAATCATCAGCTGCGGTAAGTTGTACACTGATTTACCTTTTTCGGGAATTTGTTTTTTAACTTATAGAATCTTTTTTTTTTTTTTTTTTTTTTTTTTTTTTTTTTTTTAAAGAAATGTGCAAATGAAAACATCAGATACTGTTATGTAGGCTTGTCTCAGGTAACGCTAAAAAAGTGATATACCCTGGAGAAAAAAGGTCCCCAAATGCATAAAAAAAATTTTAACGTGTAAATCTTTATGTTAAAATTAAAGAGAGAAGACCAAAGTATTTTTTGAATATTTTTTTTCAGATTTTTTACTCCTTCCTATAAATTTTAAAAATTTTTTTAAAAAATTCGTTTCTCTTGAATAAAAAAAAAAATTAGTAAATTCGATTTATTGGACATTTCTGCCCGAGTTTGTAAACAAAAAATCAAACTTTGTTCAAAAATCAATTTAAAAATCAGTTACACCTTTTTTTTTTATCTTAGGAAATTTAGAATGATTAAAGTACACTTAATGTAATTTGAAAGAAACATTACTTACTTTTTTAGCAGAAAATTTTTTAATAGAGATATTTCCAACGTGATTGAAGGGTGTTAATTGATGGCTGTCAATATATTAACAACTTACGTCAAGGGAATTTATCGTACGGTAGCGCAGAAGTGATTCGTTCTAATTTTAAGTGAACCTGGTTAGTAAATTTAAAAAAAAAAAATTCACTTTCAAATCTTTTTAACCTTACATTTGAGGAAAAATTTCTGAAGTAAAAATAACTTGCTTCTATCAAGAGAAACAAGTCTACCTCATGTGACATTATTTCAAAGCTGTGCATCCATACTTTTGTTGGAGACGATTTTAAATACAATTTTGGAATATTAAAAAATTATTTTAAAAATATCACTGGCTGTCAGATTTTAATAAGCTTTCAAATTTATGATCTTCAAAAAGTAGAGAACAAAATATGTCATTTCCATAAGGTTGCATAAAGAAACAATTTTAAAATATATTTTAAAATTTTGTGACTTTTGTCATTTGTGTATTTAAAATAGAAAAAAAAAAAAAAAATTATTGTAAAAATTCATTTTTCTTCAAAATTTTTTTTTTTTTTTCAGATAAGAATTACCTTAGTATATGTTATTCAGAAAAGTCATAAAAAGCTTTTTTTAATTAAATATTGTCTTAGTTTTATTGGGTTTTGTATGTTTACAATTGAGGTAAAAGTTTGGACAATTCTACACATGTTTTTACCAAAAAAATCGATGATTTAGAATCTTCAGAGTCTTGTGCATTTAATAAAAAAAAAAAATCTGGATACAAAAATACATTTTTGAAGTTTTCATAAAATTAAGTTCAGGGGGTGTAACATATATATAAAAAAAAAAATTTATACCATGACTTTCAAAAAGACAAACATTTCTAAAATAATTTCATTCATTTGTGAATAAGTTCTGAAAGTTTCATAAAAATCCAACAAGTGCTTGATTTTTGCAAGATTTTCCAAATCAATGTGTATTTCCCAACTGAAAATAGTGAAAAAAAAAAAACTAATGCTAATATTACCTAATTTTTGACCTAAAAAAAAACAAGTTTTTCAAACTAAATTTAAAATATGCTGCAAATGAAAAAAAAAGTTTAAAAAATAATTAAAAAAAAAATACCTTGGTCTTCCCTCTTTAATTTTAACATAATCATTTACACGTTAAAAATTTTTTTTTATCAATTTGGGGACTTTTTTTTTTTTTCCCAGGGTATACCACTTTTTTAGCGTTACCTGGGACAACCCTACTGTTATGCCTTCATATTCAAGATGAAACACACACACATATATATATATATATATAAAAAATATGTGATCAATGTTATTATAATTATTAAGTTACTGTGAGCTAGTATGTCCATCTTTTGAATTCATTTTAATTCTTTTGTCCTTTATAATATCAGTAAAAATTTATTTACACAAAATGATAAAAATGAAACAAATAAACCTTAGAAAAATCTGGTAAAATTTACAGGGCTACAGGGTTTCCTTGATGATTCACAGATATTAGATTTTGTATACTTAATACAAATTCAATTCAACTTCACAGTATCTCAAAATTTCACTTTTTTTTTTTTTTTTTTTTTTTTTTTTAAGGCTTTCAATAAACTTCTGATATTCATACCTCCTCATATAGAAATTTAAAACTTAGTGACAATAGTTAATATTTATTGAAGATTACAACAATATAAACAGCTTAGGTGTGCCTTATGTACATGCATTTTTATAAGGGCTTGAAAATGGCCAAAATGCAAAGATTCTATCCACTTTAAGAGGTTCTCATACAAAATATGTCAGATAAGCATCCAAACTGTTATTCCTTTCAAATATCACCTATTAGATATATATAAAAATATTCGTAACGTTTGTTTTTTTGACGACTTCATAAAGGGTTATCTTATATGTAAGGTATTTAAACTACTAATTTAGGCTATGGATTATGAAGTGTGTTATGTAGTATGCATGTTTGTAGTTAATTATTCCTACTATGAATCTGATGATTGGGCTATTTGTTAAACAAGTTAGATAAATTTTTTTTATCTAATAATTCAAACCAAAAATCTGATGATGCCTACAAAAAACCGTTAACTCGTGTCTATTATTTAATAGATTATTATTATTTAGAAGTTTAATGATGTGCAATTTTTCATGGAGGCACAAAGGGCAAACGTTAAAAGTTTTTTTTTTTTTTTTTTTTTTATATGCACAATTCCCTTTCATAATAAAATAAAATAAATAAATAAATCTCCATAGACAAGCAAACTAGACGATGGCCAATACATCTTCCGTTTCATTTTGACACCCCCACCTTTCCCCGACTTGACACCTTGAAAGTATCTCTATACCGCTACTTAATATAAACACCCTACACTCGCCTACCCAATTTAGACAATTCACCATAGCTGTTACCATGGGGATTTTGATTTCAATTTTAAAACAAGTAAATTTCAGATATACGTTATTCCAACAAAATTTCGCTTTGAGGATGGAACGGAGCCCATTCTACTTTCAACTCAATTTAATTTAAAGGATTATATTGAAGTTTTTCGGCTCTAGTTTTGAAACATGAGACCTCTTATGTAGCGATTTGGAATCATATTTTTAAATAAATAATTATATTTATGCTCTACTTTTGTATCGAGCACTATTTTTTTAAAAATAATAACTAAAATACTAAGGGACTTTGGATTATTTACCTAACCAGTTCCTTCCTATTTTCTATATATTTTCACACATACATATATATATATATATATATATATATATAAGCAATGTTTCAGTCAACAAATTTTATTATTTATTGTTTGTATAGAAAGAATTTATTTCTGTCTTGTCAAAATTCAGCCAGATAGAAAAAAGTATCTGTATTTACATTTAAAGAAAAATGTAATCTTGGTTTTTCTTTGTTTTTTCTTTTTCTTTAAGAATGAGACAAAGTAAATAATTTCAAAAAAACATTCAAATATTCATGCAATGTTACATTTGCATAATAACTGTTATATGCTATTTCACATTACTACAAATTGAGTGAAACTAGAAAAAAACTTTAAAGAATTATTTAAATGAGGAAAAATAATCTGTCATTAAATTTTTCCTATTATAATTAATAAAACATTACAAAATTATTTAAATACATGAATATAATCTGTTGAATTAATTTTTATTAATAAAAACATCTTAGTTTTCTCTAACTGTAGGACAGGTATTTGGCTAGTGTATAAAATACATGATTAAATAAAACCTCTTTTTTAATTCTTATGAAAACCTTGTAGGCTTTTTAATAGTATCTGGTTCAAGCTGGTGTGTAATCTTAAAGGATTAATTTCAAATAATACAATAAACCCATGCCTAGAAAAGATGCTGAGTGATGGACAAAATTAAATATTCTTCTTATATTATTAATACAATATTAACACAATACCATCACATTTTATCTAGATTATACAGTCCTTGGATAATTCAATCACCAAAAAGAATTTGAAACTTTTTTACTTTGAGTTAATATATTTGGAATGCAATCTTAAAATGGTTACTTATGCTCATATAGTTATTTTTAATTATATCAACTGAAGTTTAGTGCAAACAATTTAGTACACACACAAATTATAAAATATTTTGTAATAATATAACTCCTTGAAAAATAAAAAAATTTTGTAATAATAAACTCCTTGAAAAAACAAAAAAAAAACCAGAAAAATGAGTTCAACAAATATTGATATAGTTTCACTTTGTAAATTCTTGTTAGTATGTAATAGATTTTATTATTGAAAAGGGGAACCTGTGTGTGTGTGTGTGTGTGTAATATATAATATATTTTTTTTATTTAGCAAAAAGCAGCTGATGAAAATGCCCAGGCTATGGCCACAGCTGCTGTTGCTGCTGCAGCTGCTGAAGCTGATGGTGCTGAAGATGAAGAGGAAGAGATGGAAGTTGAAGCAGCTAACAAAGAGAAATCAGTAGGTATTTTTTTTATTATTTCTATTTCCTCTTCTGTCTATTCTTACTTACAATTAAGTCCATAATCATTCTATGATTTTTTTTTTTTTTTTTTTTTTTTTTTTTTACTTGGTTATCATTGGTTAAATTTTGTCCTATCAAATGTTAATATCAGTATGATGGGTCATTTATTTTTATTTTCATATTTAAGCTCAATTTTATATACTGTCCTGCCATTTGTTTAAACTGATCAACAAATCGCAGAGTAATTTAAAGTGAAAAAAAAGAAATGTACTTCAGAGTTAATGACTAGCAATGATTGTGAAGGTATTATAAGTGTTTTCCTTTAGGCAGTCTCTTTGTAACTATCAGATTTTGTGACATGAAAAGTATTTGGATACAAAAAAGTGGTTTTAAAAATATTTCTGCAGAAAATTTTTAAATTCTACCAAATTATTTTATATATGACTAATATGTGATGAATGCACATGTCATGATTTTTTATGTTAATTTTGTTAGAAAATGAAAAGTGTTCAATTCAGTGCAAACTGTATGTGAAACAAGTCATATTATTTTTGAAATCTAGAAATGGAAAAAAATTGGTTCCTTTTAAATTTTATATATGTCAACAAGATTTTTTACTGTTTTTTTTTTTTTTTTTCTTTCTTTTATATTGGCATCACTCAAAGACAAATGACTAGAGGGAATAGAAAAGCATATGTATGGTCACATCAATTTAATTAGACTAATATTTTTTAAAACTAATTTGAATAATATATCAAGTTATTTTTTTCTTTTTTTACTCATAAAAAAATTATTAATCAGCAATTTTCTTTAGGTATAAATCAATGCTAATCAAATTCAATATATATTATGATAGACTATTGTGACTTTGTAAAAAATGGTGGAAATAAAGTAAAACTGTGACTTCCCTTATTGTCATTTGTAAAAGGAAACAGAAATATATATACACACTTCATGATGTAAGTGAAAAGTATTGACTTCATTGTATTGTTGTTACTATTGTGATTTCCATAATCATGTCTTTATATAATATTGCTTTAGTGATTGTGTTATAATTTTTATTATATATCTATTAAAATACTGATGGAAATGAATAGCGATTGTTTTGATATTTGTGGTGGGGGGTAGTAATCAGAACCAACTACTTGCATTTATTCATAATTAACCCTGTTTTGATTTAAAATGAGCAACAAAAATAAAACTTAGTAATAAATAATATTTACTAGTAAAACAAAAAAAAAACTGTCATAAATTAGTACAGTTTTGCTAGTTATTAGTTATAGGATTTCTTTTAAGAGATTTGTATATGCCATAGCAACTTTGTGCTGACTCTTAGCATATAAATTCTAATTTCCAGTTATTTAAAATAAATTTCTCTTTCTGTACTATCAGAGTTGCCAATTTAACTCTTTTTCAGTGTATTTAGTCCCTGTAGATCAGCATTTACATCTTTGTTTTTTAATTTATGTATTAATGAGAGTATAATTATTAAGAAATAGAGCTAGATCATCATCTACATACAAAAGAACAGTTCTGATGTTCTATACTGAAGTTAAGTATAGGTTCTGAAATATTTGTAGAAAATTGTAAGGAACCACAAATAACTTGGACCTGGTAATTGTTCATTTGTCAGATAAATGTCAACACTTTTCGGTAACAATCATGATTTCAATATCCTACTGGGCTTGTCCCTTCCTCCATTAGTTTGCATAACTGTTACACCTTGCTGATACCTCATAAATGATGGGCTATTCTGTTTTGATCATATGGAAACAGGGGGGAAAGACACTTGTTTTCAGTGAGAAAATGAAAGAAATAAGGGAAGATAGAAGTAGAGAGAGAGAGAATTGGATTAAGCTGATAAGAACAAATACTACACTTTGATATTAACCATTAAACTAAGAAACATTGGTAACTGCGCTAAAAGCACCATTTTACAGACACACAATATTGAATGATAAAACCGAATAAGACAATTGTCAAAAATCCGGTTACCATAAATAAAATGTCGTCTGCTGAATTATTTTCAAAAATATTTGTAAGACAGGGATTTAGCTAGAAAGAAGAAAAAAATACCTGCCAGTCCCTCGTAAATAGTGGATTATTCCATTTTTGATTGCATAGAAAAACAAGACATATGCTACTTGGTTTCAGTAAGAAAATGAATGAAAAGAGAAGATAGAAGTGTTTAACGTCAGTTTCAGTGAAATGGGAAAAGTTGCCAATTTCATTTTTTTTTTTTTTATTATTGTTTTGTCATAGGACTCGCCATGAGCTTATTCAATCAGTAACTGAAGAATTAAGATTCATCAGAAAATTCAAAAAGGAAAACTGAAATTTTCATGGGTTTTTCTAATGCATATAACACTAACTAGCCTGAAAAGGCATTTTGTGCACCAAATTCCAAACAATCTATCCAAGAGCTTTGTTATTTGTGTGGTTTGAACACACTGCCTTTATTCAAAACTAGACTACCCGAAACAGTTCAGGTTATAAAACATTGAAGTTGACTTCAACATTCCATTGGAATGAAAGTTAATTATGATTCTGTTAAATATTTCAATTCATTCATGTCATTGGTTCTGGTTTACAAGTTCATGTTTAACGTCTTATTGATTGTTTACAGCATTTAATAGGAATAGAACTTCTGAGATGAACTCTAAATCAGATTAACTTAAAAATATTTTTTAAATATTTAAAATATTGTTTGTTTAAAGAAAGCCGAAATATAAATAATTACTCTACAAACAACTGGATGAAACAGCAAAGCGGGATTTCTTATGTTGGTCTTTAACTTAAAAATATTTTAATTTAAAAAAAATTGTCTGTTTGAAGAAAGTTAAAATAAATATGCTTACTGTATAAACAACTCATAAATCATTATGCACCAGACAGGCACACCACACAAGTACACATGCAATCATGAACTTTTAGTATTTGATAGATAGATCCTTGTTCAAATAGCTTGTTTTATTTCTTTGTTTAATACAGCATTTAAAACAATTTTTTATCTATAAATTTTGAAGCAATAGTGTTCTTTCTTGCTTTAGAGTTCAGTATTTTCAGTTATATTTGAAAATGTTTATGTAAAATATTAAAGAAACCTAATTTGTTATTTTTTTTTTCTTTTTCTTTTTAAAGGGTGCTAAAGGAAAAGCTGGAGCCAAGAAACGTCAGTCAACCAATACATCAGCTGTGAGTCATGACAAATTTTTTTGAATAAATAATTGCGCTGTGAACAATGAAAGTTTAAGTAGAACATTATAACTTAGATTTCCAATGTATAAATTACTTTAAATTATATTATGCTGTTGTGAACACTTTAATAATTTAAATGACTTTTGTGTATATTAATTTTTTTTTTTCCCCCCATACAAACCTTTTGAGGATGTTACAGAATTCATAGGTTACAAAAAAAATGGGACAAAAAAAAAATGGCCAGAACTCTGATGATCCAGACTGAGTGGGTGTGGCTTGAACCCTGTTGACATTAAATTCTAATAGTGATGGTTGTATTTGTTTAAGTTCTAACATATATATAATATTTAATATGGAGTACAGATACAACAGTAGAAAAGTCAAGCACTTTATCTTCCTCTCCCAGGTTACTTTGTGTGCAATGATCTCAAAAGAGAGACAAGCTACCAGAGAAGATAACTAGCTGGCTGACCTGTTGATATCCATTCTCTTTAACTCCCTTTATTTTCCTCTAAGAAACTCTACACCCAACTCTACACACACACAAAAAAAAAAAAAAAGCACATAAAAAGAAACCTGAATAAAATTGTCTATCATTGGTTCAATCTGTTGATGCAACATGGGATTCATATTAAGGAATTGCCAATATATTACTAGAATCCAGGGATGACACACAATGATCAAGGGTTATAAGTTTTATTCTCAATTGTAGAGAAAGTTGAAATCCTTAATCTTGCTGTTATGGTAGAATCCTTGTAGGTTTAATAGGTAACTAAATTTATTTCATTTATACATGTATGAAATTAATAAATTTCAGGTATTAAGCAGATGTTATAAAGTTTGACTCATTGATACCATGCTATCATATGATGAATATATAAATTTATGACAAATGTTTATAATTAACTGGATTGAATGTCTTTAGCCACGATTGACATCTTTTAAAAAATATATTTCCTATTGATTTAGGATATGCCTTTTTTTTTTTTTTTTTTTTTTTTTTTTTTTCTTTGTAGGGTAAACCTCCTTCAAAGCGTGCCAGAAAAAGTACTCCTGCTCGTTCAAAATCTCGTGATTCCACTGCTGCTGCTGATTATGAATCTGAGCCTGCAGCTAATGAAGAGGAGGAAGAGGAGGAGGAAGAAGACTTTGATGAAGGGTCAGCTCCTGACACAGATAATTCAGATGATGAGGTAATTGTTGCTTTTTGAGTGCTGAAAAGTTTTTACTTCAACCAACTTTTCAAAATCTGACCAAATATTTTTTCCCCCTCTCAAGTCCTTTCTATGTCAGAACCATTTCAGCACTGCATTGTAATTAGAATATATGATCTCTTGAAGGGAATTTATATCTTAATTAACTTCCCTATTTCTCTTTGGTATAACAGGTTACCATAACTGCCAAGGTCAACTTGAATTTTCAAATGTTTGTGTTTTTTTTTTGTTTTTGTTTTTTTATTCAAAAACTCAAGTTACATTTTATTGTCTGAGCTGTTATTCTCCAAATAACATGGGAATTAAATTTATTTTCTTAGTTTAGTCTGACACAAAGCCAAAGGAATGTGGGGAGAATTGAAATTGCTACAGTTATGAAATGATTGTTAACCATCACACCATTCTTGAAATTATTTCGTTTGACTCTTTAGTAAAATGTAACTTTTTGTAAATTGGAGCTGTAGATACTTGAAAGAAGTTAAAATGCAAATTAGATAAGAGAAAAATCAAATCTTTTTTCATTAAAAAATTCAAATTTATTCTTTCTCTTAATTACTAATGGTTTTAATTTTCCAAATATAACTGAAAATAAATGCAATTTATATTAGTAATAAATTCAAAAATTGAAATGTTAACTGTAAATAGATAATTATATAAACATCTAAAATTTGAATGTAAAAATGAAACTTTCAATTGAACATAAGATTTGCCAATTTTTAGTCCTTCAAGATTTAGTTTTGTTATCTTTACTGGGGGATTGCTTCAGATGAAAATCTGATTTATCAATAGGACAAATAAATTTTGATATTTTTATTATTTTCTTTTTTCTTTATGACAATAGAAAATACTTTCAAAAATTTACTTTGCTTTAACTTAAAGAATATACATCCTTTCATACAGGGTTTAGAAGGAATAATATTGGTAGTTTTTCTAATTTAGTGATTACTTATATATTTTAGTAACCGTCTTGATTTTCGTAGGATTTCCAGATTGAAGATGATGAGAAAAAAAGTAAAAGAGGACGAGGACGTGCCTCAAAGACAGGACCAAAAGGAAAAGGTGCCAAGAAGGCAGAAGTTTCTGATAGCGAGTCTGATAAATCTGATAAAGATTTTTCTGAAGAAGAAGAACAAGACAATGATGATGATGACTATGATGAAGAAAAACCTAAAACAAAGGCTAAAGCAAAAAGGAAAGCTACACCAGCCAAAGGTCGAGGTGCAGGTGGTGTTAAAAGAGGTAACTTTTTTTTTTTTTTTTTTACCATCTTAAACAGCTTTTCTGCATGAATGACATTATTTAAATGTTACTTTTTCACGGTGATCACAAAAATTCTTTCTCTTGAGGACTACTTTCTTGCTACCGTCTCCAAAATATTAATCTCTCTCAAAAATTCATTTATAAAGATGGAATTTTGATCATGGATGTAAATTAATGAAAAAATGAGATTAAAAATTTATAATCATGTTACTTATATTAAATTTTTGTACTTTCCATGTAATTATTTGTATTAAAAAAAAAAAATTGATAAAGCTGTTTTGAAAATGAATAACATTTTACACTTCAAAACATTCTTTATCTTGGATATTACCTTTAGACTGTTTTTTATAAAGATTTTATATTATATTTTAAGCCACTAATCGTCGTTCTTCTGGTGTTGGTCGAGGTGGTCGTCGGCAACCCAAAGCTTCTGTGGAGGTCAGTGCAGACAGCATTTCCTCTTCTAGTGATAGGTAAGACATCTAAATTTCTTGGGGATTAAATGATTTAGTTTAGTTTACAAGATTAAAGAATGATTCAATAGTTTACCTATTTTCAGATATAATAAATATTAACATTTTTTATTATTTTAATTAATTTGTATGCACTTTTTTATTTTCATTAGTCATATTCCAAACCTTCCTTCAGGTTTAGAAATTTAATGAATTTAAATATATAACATTTACTAATAGATAAAATCCAATTGAAATTTTGTGTCTAAAATAAAGAAAACAAATGGCATCATCTTTTAAGTTCCAAAAGAATATTAAGAAGGACAATTCTGAATGCAAATCCAATAGTGGAATAAACTCTTTCTTTCAGCAAGGAATTAAAAATAGCAAAAATGTAGATGAGGGGCTTTTACAATCCCCCATCCCTGCTTCCAAGCCTATTTGTTGGCATGATCAGTGCACAAGCTGAGGGTCTGATTAGATCTGTTACTATTATATTCAAATCCTCATTCAGTTAGATCTGAAAGATTTGAAATTCTTGTTACTCCCTACTTATTCTAAACCTGTGACAAAATGTTAGATAATAAAAGAAGGTATCAAAAAGTGAAACACTATTTAATAGGTTAATTTAAAGGAGTCTAGTCAAGTTGCATTTGCTATAATCAAATAGCACACAATGTTAAATAATTTCATTTGCTGAAATGTCATGCTAATTTTCAAAAAATGTTTTAATTTAATATTAAATAAATTTAATTTCACTATTTTAGGAAATGTAAGGTATTAAAAATAAAATTCAATTTTGCATTTCATGTTTTGTTTTAAAAATTGAAATGAAATTCATTATGAATAAGGTCGTACTTCTGCATTGGATGACAATCATTCCAAACCTTCAAAATTCTGCTTTCTTCAGAATAAAGTATCAAACATGCATTCATCTATAGACAACTATTACAAAGCAGAAATTTATCTTGATTGCAATTTTTATATCTTTATATGAAAAATAGTTACTGTTTCAAAATAATTGCTGAATTTACAAAATTTGTGTTTCTTTTATCAGTGATGGTTCAGAAGACCTTGTAAGCAGTTGGAAAAAACGTGATGAAGAGAGAAAAAAAGAGATTGAACGGCTCATGAAGCTGGATGAAGAGAGGTTTTAATATTTTAAACTTTTTTTCTACTTTCTTTACCATCTCCTTTATTTTAGGCAGTACCATTGAATCTCCATTACACAAGTTCAATAAAGTAAAAAAAAAAAAAAAATAACATTCAACCTGAGCCTGACTCCTGCCATAATATATAACGTCATTGCAAATAATGCAGAAAGTCACGCAAACAGTGAGACTTTGAGAGTCATTATGTACAGGACAGCTTTGAACATATTGAATGTTAAATGATTAAACAATAATCCTCAAAATAAGCTTACATTAAATATAATTTTCTGACACTTTTTATATTCATAGTTTTAATGAAACTGAACACAGGAAATGTCATTAAACAAGCTTTAAAAATATCTAAGCTGTCTATTTTTATTTTTTTGCATTTTATCCAGTTAATTAGCCTTAAACTTTTAAAATAGATCTATCTTTGAAAAATCTCTAGGACATGTACCATTGTTTTGTAGAAAAAATACTTTTCAGAATTATACATAATTTGTATATTTAGGTAAAAAGACTGGAATGTTGTAACAAATGCACTCTTTTTCTTTACCCCTACCCCTGCCAGAAAAAAGCAAGAGGAGGAAGAGCGTATTCAAAAGGCTACAGAAGAAATGATTAGGGAGAGAGAGCAAAAGGGTGAGGAAGAGAGTGAGGAGGAAAAATCTCCGCAAAAAAAAGAAAAGGCCTCAGCTAAAAAGGAAAAACCCAAAAAAGAAACTAAGAAAAAGTCAAAAGAGGTTTGTTGTATTTGTATTTCTTCATTTTATTTTACTTTAATTAGTTTGCTTTTTTCAATCATTTAATTTTATTTAAAATAGTTTCAAGATTAAGTATTAATTTAAATAGTAATTTTCTCATTAACAGCTATATAAATTATGATTGGCAGCAAAAGTAAATCATAGATGCTGGTATAGAAAACAAAGCTTGTATAAAATTCTATTACAAAACTACATACCAAATTTTAAAACATTTAATATATTAATTTTTATTTTAACATAACAACTTTACTAAAAATTAGAACAGTTAAGATTGTTTTAACAAGAATTTTTTTTTTATCATTATCAGGAGTCAGCTCCTAATAAAGGTCGTCGAAAAAGTAAAAAGGTAGATTCTGATTCTGAAGCAGAAGATAAAAAGACTTCTGAAGCCGAAAACAAGACTCAGGTAAAAGAGAAGGCAGAGAATGTTATAGAAGCAAAGGAATTAGATCAGTCAAAAACAGAAACAGCTCCTACTTCACCCACTGCCCCTGTTTCTACCTCTGCTGTGACCAAGGAAGAGCGAGACAGTGAGGAAGAGGATGTCATTACTCCAAAGAGAAAACGTGGTGCAACTGCAAAACGAAAGAAAGATGTAGCGGATGATGACGAAGTTGACCGTGTACATGCAGATGAAGAGATACCTAACAATGAGAATAAAGATGATAAATCCCAAAGCATTCAAAATGAGAAAGTTAAAAGCAAAGATGCTGATAGCAAAAATAAAAAGGTGATTATATTTTCTATTTTTGAAAGAGACACTGAAATTGAATCATCTGCCTATTTAGCATCTTTGTGTATTTACTTCATCAATTTTTACAAGTTGCAAGATTAAGGCTCTTTTTCTTTCTTTTCACTTTTTCTCTCTTTTTTTTTTTTTTTTTTTTTTAATAGTATTTGAAATTTGCTTTAAAAAAAATCTATACAGGAAAAATCTAATATAACAAATGATGCAATTTCATATTTTCATTTCTTTATTTTTGTTTTTTTTTTTGTTAAAATATTTTGGCTGATCTATTCTTTAGTCTTTGTCTGGTGTATAATCTGTATGAAAAGAGGAAAAATTATTTCTTCAGAACATCTGATTGTATCTGTAATATAGGCTGGATAGTGGACAGGCTATTAAGAATGCAAAGGTGTCCAATTGTCTTAACAAAATTTCTTAATCTATCTTTTAGTTATTTAAAGTTAAAGACAATAGATTATGCACTTGATTATTGAATATTATTGCCTAGGGTGTTTTTGGTTTTTTATGTTTTTTTGTGCTTGGTTTTCTGGTGGCAGACTATTGTATCTTTCCTCACTTAATCAATAGTTGGCACACACATGCATATTATTTACTGAGCATCACTTAGATTTGGTAGAAGGCTTCAAGCATGGGGCTCTTAGTGAGGATTGGCCTTAATACTCTTTAGTAACTGATCTGTGAAACCAGGTTGCTGACATTTCATCATTACACAAACATTTAAACTATTCTTAGTAGTTGACTTTTTTATTTTATTTATTTTTTCATATTGGTTAACATTTAGCTGACTTGTCAAACACATTTGCAGAAAAAGAAAATTGAAATACTAGTATTTTTCATTATTATAGTTGTATTTTTTCTTTGTTTTTTAAATAGTAATTAACAGTTCTTCAAATCCTGATAACCTCTCTGTTAAGTGAAACAGGCACAAGAAATTTGGGAGCCATTGTATTTGCAACTTTATCTATATAAAAATGCTAATACCATAATAGAAAAATTTAACAATTTAAGATTCCTAGAAGGATGACATTGTGTAAATATTATGCATTCTGTCATAACTAGTGTTGATATTAGATTTTAGAACTTAAAAAAATTATCATGGATATACAGATTTTTATTTATTTTTTTTTTTTTTTTTGTGAAAAAGTACTGACACATTGTTTATTAGTTTTCTAATATATCGACTATATTTTTCTTTGATTTAAAGTATGTATTAAATGTCTGTTCTCTAAGTAAAATACTTTATAGTCTGAAATTAGAATATTTGCAGACATTTTATATTGAGTACTCTTAAGAGATTAAGATTTTGATAAAAAGGTCTTCAAAGTTTTATTCATTTATTGTTTGAATTTAACTTCAGTTTTATCTGTGGATTTCTTGGTTCATTATGTTGTTGAAACATGTATGCATGCAAAGGGGTGGTAAATGGTATCAAGTTGAATGAAAATTGAAACCTATTTTGGAAAATTGTTTTTATCCTTTATTATAATGAAACAAGAAACATTTAAACTCCCATCTTTCTTTGAAATTTTACTAATCTCTACATTTCTCTCATTTCAAAGAAGTGAAAATTTCAAATCCATTTAATCTTACATAGCAGAAGATGAGTTATCTGATTGATTGAGCATAGTAAATACTTGAATTTGGAATAGTGACTTTCCAATTTATATAACTGGAATGTTTTACTGATTTGAAAATATATTATTCTAAATAGTTTTTGAATTTGGAGTTAAGACATTGACACAATGAATTACATTAGCATCACAGTTAAATTACTAAAAACTTTGTAAAATAGGTATTTTGATATTCTATTACTATTTTTTTTATATTTGGATTGTATATAGTTCAAAACTACAGGCACTAAGAATTTGTTGAAAATCATTTCAGTGTAAATGCTTTTTTCTTTTTAATACTGAACAGGATTTTAACTCTTCAGTTATTATTTTATACTGCAATATACTGATAATCACATTTCACTGGTCCTTGAATATGACTTGAAAACTGGGTGTAGTGACTCCTGTTTGTAATAGATAAAATATAAGCAAAATTTAGGTGTATGTATTTTTTCTAATTCAGTTAATTTTTGCCCTGTTAGTATTTCTAGTTCATATTATATATCTAAACTCTTCAAAGCTGTGAATTTTTTTTTTATATATATATATATATATATATATATTAAAATTCTAGTCAATAAAAATTATTAATCTCTTAAAAGGTTTCTAGCAAGCATAAAATCATCAAAGCCATGTATTGAACTTGAAAATTGGGATTGTTTAATTTTTTAATTAGCTGAAGCCTTATGTTAGTGTTTTTGCTATAATGCAAACAAGGGAACTTGGTAAGAACAGATTGGGTTGGATTTTGGGCTTTGGCTGTTTTCTCACTGAGCTTGGCGAAATTGTGAATTGATTTCTGCACATGTACACAAACATGTCTCTGACTTGAAGGATGCCACTTATGCAATAATTATAAGTTGGCTGTGGAAGCACTTTCTTTCCAGTGGCACATTGGAAATAATTTTCTTGTTCCTGATTTCAGAACAAGACACAAGAAGAAAATAAGGCTAAAGCGAAAGATATCAACAAGAAGGAGAAGTTGAAAGAAAAGGTGAATAAAGAGGTAATTTATGTAAAAATATTATCAATCTATGAAATATTTGCAATGCTGATCTTTCTTCCTTTGTGAAGTAGCTCAGCTTGGGAGACCAATCAGGTCATTACATTGAAATATGATTTACTGGCTCATATGAAAGAGACATCTATCAAAATAACATTTGTTTCTATAACATTACAATTTTGTAGTTTAAATAAAGCTCCTTGTTTACCATGCACAATATACTGTTTTATACATTTGTCTTATTTCCTCTAGTAGAAGTTATTGGTGTTTTTTTTTTTTTTTTTTTTTTTCCTCTTTCTCCCCCCTGCCACCCCAATTTTTTGGTTAGAGCTAGTAGTAAGAGATTTTATATCTATATTTTCTTGTTTATTTTTCTACTTCATATAATCAACAATAATGGTTTTGTGGTTTTTCTCTGCACAATCAAATCCTTCGTTTTCTCATATTTATATTGAGCAATACATTTTTTCCACTTATAATTTACTTCGAAAGAAAGCATGTACTTTCAGGGTATTTTATTTTATATATAGATATATCAGCTCATTTTTTTCTCTTAATTATAAATCGGTAGACCTCTTCCACTATAGATTTCTATTTAGTTAAACATAGACTCAAGAGTTGTCCTTCACCAAACAATATTTTTTGTCAAAATCTCTCCACATGTAATATTTTATTGTAAATATTCTTTATAAATTTTTCAAAATTGAGTTTGTTTTGCAGCACTTTGTACATTGAATACCCCCCTCCCCCCGGCCCTCTCTTAGCTAATGGCAATTTATTCCTTCAATTTAAATGTTTCCTTTTCACTTTCCAGCAAGAAAAGGTAAAAGAGAAAAAGTCTGACAAATCTGGGGGTGGCAGTGGTCCAAGCAGCAGTCACAAACCAGGAACTCCATCTGCTGCTGACAGCAGGGATTCTGCTGACAAAGATGATGATGATGACGAGATTCGCAGAAAAAAAATGGAAAGAGAGCGAAGAATGTAATTTTTTTTCCCCCATTACATTTAACTTACTGCCACGTTTACATTAATCTGTCATTTTTAACTCTAAAGAACATAATTTCTACAAAATAAACATGTACAGATAAAATTACAAAATGTCTAAGGTACACATTGCAAGATATTATTTCTGTATTTGTAGTGTTTGAAATCTGTTTAAAATTCCAAGTAACTTCTCAAATAATTAGACTAATATTTTTGTGCTTAGGTATAGAAATCCCACACATTGAACAAACCTCCACAGTCTTTCCTCTCTAATACAACCAATTCTTTAGTGAAAAATATTAAAAGTTTTACATTTGTACTTATGTAAATATTCATTTTCACTTGCAGGTGTGTGTGTGTGTGGGGGGGGGGGTGATAATGTATTTTCTTTCAAGTCTACCCCAACAGACAGTGGAGATTTTTTTAGTACTCACCTATATTCATACGTAACAAGATGCCAAAGTGTGTGTGTGGTGGTGGTGGGGTGGGGGTCTCTCCTTGTTTATCATCTCTTTAAGATATTAAAAAATAAAGCTTTGAAATATTATTGAATATTCTAAGAAAATTTCATGGCCCATGTGCTAAATATAGTTTTAAATTGATTTCAGTACATTACATTTGAAGTTATAGAAATTTAAAGATGTGTTCATTTGATGAAAATGTATTAAATGTTAATTAAATGTTTTTCTGTGTAGTACATTGAAGTGTTTCGAGACATCACTAAAATTGTCTTTGTTATAATTGGATTACAAAATTAAATCTTGATATTTGTACCTATACAAGGCATAAAATTATAAAGAAAAACTGGTTTTGTGTTGATTTGAAGTAGTTTCTTTGTTCTCTCATGACTGGATAATTGCTTTTATGGTGTTTTATTTTTTTTTGTAACTGTTTACCTGCTTATTTTCACATACACACACTCACTCTCTCTCACATACCTTTATGATGTGGAGTTAATTATGGTGCTCCACAGCTTTCTTTCTTTTATTGCTTTCAGCAATACTTGTCCTTTTATGACTCCCTCTTTGTCATTCTGATATTTATCCCTCTGCCCATTTGCTCCTACTTATGTAGGTTACCCACTGTTAAAAGCTTCAATTTCATTCTATACACCCTGTGAGTTTTAAATTCTGCATACCTTCTTTCCCCCTGTCCCAAAATTTTCAGCAGTCTCTTCCTGATTATTAGCAAGTTCTATTCTCCTGATCTGTTCATGGTATTCTTCATATTCATCAGTAGAATAACATCTCTGTTGCCTCAAATCTTTTGTTTTGTGATAGAAATTGTCTAACTTTTTACTGCCATCTTGGAAGGTTAGACATTCCGCAGAAGTCTAGCACTTTTTTCATAGTTTCTAATGTTAGTTTTTGGTTCTTTACTCAGTTTCTGAAAAATATTTTTTATTTTCCTGCACTTTAAAATTTCTGTGTCATATGTTTTGATTTTTTTTTTTTTTTTTTTTTCCCTCAGACTTTTGGTTGTCTATTTTGCTCAGCATTTTATTATAATTAATAATTAAGCCTTCCTTTCTCGCTTTCTTCAACCACCTAGTCTAATAGTCCTTTCAGTTTTCCTTTTGGATCTGCATCCAATGTAGTTTAAGGTCACTTCTGTTGATAGGTTTTATAATTATTATTTTACAGAATTGAAAAAGAGGAAGAAAAAGAAAGAAAGAAAAAGGAAAAGTATGAAAAGAAGAAGAAAGAAAAAATCCAATGTGAGCATATATTAATATTACAGTGAAATCTTCTCAGTATAACTATTATGAAATTACTTCATTTAATCAAATTTTAATAATTTAGAAATATTTTTTTATATACTGATGGTGGTCATTGAGATAACATTGATAAATTTAATCCAGTTTTGCTGACTTTTATTTAAAATTTGTTTTTAACCAAAAATCAGTTTCCATCCTGGGTAAAACGTTAAACTACGTCCAGCAGCAAGGCCTCTGATCAGGAGGTTTTGAGGAGTGTGGAACCACCTCTTAATTGCTGGTGTTCCCAGGTCCACCCTGACCCAGGGTAGTAGCATCTGTTTGGGTTCCAGCTATGGGCAAATAGTTAACTATTACCAGCAATACAATTTTGAAGGAAAGATATTACCATAAACAGATTTTTGACAAAACAAAATATTACCAGTAATAAAAATTTTGTCGGCATTAAATAACCCATTGAGGTTGATACACCGTAAAACAAAATAAACCAAACCAATCTAAACCAAAGAATACATATTCTATTCATATGAATCTATCCTAAGAATGTTGTCGGCAAACCCATTGAGGTTGATATGCCGTAAAACAAAATAAACCAAACCAAAAAACAGTTTCTGAACTACAGTATTTAAAAATGTTTTGTATCTTTTTAAATCTCTTAATCTTTAAGAAATTTAGATTTAGTTGCCCGTTTTATTTATTCTGTATATATGAAAGTTTAAAATTTTCAATTATGATTTTATTTTATGTAAGGTAAATTTGTTAAAAAAAATTTCATAATTTTAAAATGATTTAATTGCAGTTTTACAAACGGAATCAACATTGATACAAATGGATCTGGAAATCAAGAAATCTTTAGTAATAGATAAAACAGTGAGTATAGTGTCTGTTCATGTGAAATTGGGTTGTCAAAGCATATGAGCTTTTATCGATTCTAAATTAAAACTCATTCGACAGATGTGTGTTGTTTGTTTTTTTGGGGGGGTGTAAGTGTAATTTTCTGTCATTCAAGGCATTTTAAAAGATATCTTGTAATAATAAAACTGGTTGTTTTTTTTTACCGTTGGATATTATACACCGAAAAGAGTGCATGCATGTCTTTTGATAAAACCAAATAATATTGGCAATCGGGCATAGGTCATTTTTTAAATTTTTCTAATGTTGCTAGTTGTACATAAACAGTTGTCTCAATTGAAGTTTAATGGATAAAGAAACATTGTATATTTTGCATTTAGGTTTGCACACAGGCTGAGAAAGCTTTAAAAAAAAAAAGAAAAAAAAAAGAGAGATGGTTGTAGAAGATAGCCAGGAAATTCAATTGTGTGCTGAGAATGTTGGAGCTATCCTGGAGGTGTATGTTAAAAAATCATTGGATTTATCCCCAAAACAACAGCATTTTATCCACAGATGATTAGCAGTTTTAAAAGAATTTTTTAAAAATTAGCCAAAATTAAAAAAATTTTGTTCAAAAATAGGTTAGCTTTATGAAAGCTTAGGTGGAAAATCAATTGAAAATATTCATAGTATATTCATTTGTTGTGGTAATGTTTTTGATGCACTTGTGGCAATTTGAGGATTAAATTTTTTTGATTTTTTTTTTTTTTTTTTTTTTTTTTTTTTTTTGTTAATGGAGAACATTTATTTCAATAACTATATTTACATCCCTAAAACTTCTGTGTTTACATCATGAAGATTAGAAATTAACTACAAATGTAAAAAAAAATCTTATAAATCTAAAACTTTGTTTCCACAGTTTTTTTTCTGTGATACATGTTAGCACGGTCTTAAATATTAGAAACAAAATAGTTTTTCTGTTCTATGGTAGATAAGTAACAATCTTAATTGTATTTTAGGATGTGGACAAGTGCATTGCTATCATGGAAGATTTGGAAGCTTTACCGGTAACACAAGTAATGCTTAAGAAGAATCCTGACATAATGAATACAATAAAAAAAGTAAGTCACTTACTACTTAATTTCTATTTTTCTCTCTTATCTCTCTCCCCCTCCCAATGGATTATATCACAAATTGTGATTACCTACACCAAAATATTTTGTTTTTGCAAAGAAACTTAAAAATGCTGTTTGTTCTAGATAATTTGTTCTGACAATAATTACAGTATATTTTCACAATAAAATTGCTATTAACTAATTTAAAATAAAATTTATTTAATAAAAACAAAATTTATAGGATGTACATGTGATAAATATGCCATATGAATTACAGCTCATAATTTGTTTTTGTTAGTGTGAAGTTGTATCATGCAAATTTTGAGTTGTTCATCATATTGTAAATAAATTAGTGTAATTATTGATAGTTAATTTTACATGTGTATAAATTGCCATGGTTCATAAGATATAATTTTGAACAGGAAACAAAATACTGTAGTGTTATTTAGTTGTATGAACCTGACATTGGAAACTGAAAAAATTGAACAGGTATTATAGACAAATAAAGAAATTGCAAACATTGGCAAGATACTGCAAAGAGTAGGGAAAATGAATATTGCAAATATGAGATTTTGGGAAAATAAAGATTTACTAGGAAGAAACTATTTGAAACTGCTCTTGGGAATGAAAACAAAAGAAGAAAATGAAACTTGAATGCAACCAAGTTATTTCCTTTTTAAGTAAAAAAATTACAGAAACAAGTAAGATGGGCAAGTAAATGCACAAAAATTGATTTGTCAACAGTAATTTTTACTGATGAATGTAGAACAGGATTGGCTGGAACTGATGGCTGCTTTGGAGTTGGGTTCATTATAGAAATAATCACCCAACATAATTTGTGAGGTGGAGTAATGTTTTGGGTTAGGATTGTTTGTAAACAGTAAAATTATAGGTCCCTTCAAAGTTGATAATATTGATTTTTTTTTTTCTCTCTCTCTCCCTCTCCAAGGGAAATACAGAGAATTGTTTTAATTACTTGAACAAAATGTAGAGGACATCCAACCAACAATCTAGAAACTAAGCTAAAGAGAATATTGTCATTCAATCCAATAATCTTTTATATTCTGCAAATTCTAGGTATTGCTCACCTTGTCCCAAAATGTTTCAAAGACATCAAATTACTGGATGGTCCATAACCCTCTCCAAATATTAAACCAAGAGACATGAGAATGGAAAATCATAATCAACCAAAAATGGTCTCTGGTAAGCAATAAAACTGCAATGTTAAAGATGAAACAATATAAAAGTTAATAAAAATCAATGGTTGGAAGACTGGTGAAATGTATAGAATATCAAGAAGCCATATATATATATATATATATTCTAAAACCTGACAACCCCAATGTTATCAATATTTTTCTAAGGATAGATATAAACTGAAATGATTACTCATATATCTGAGAATTTTATGAACCTCAGTTCATATCAATTTTGTTGTGAAAACATTAACTTGCATAGTGTATAAAGAGTGATTTAGATGTGATTTCACTTTTCTATAATCTCTTGTGTTCTTGTATATTCATTATGACAGAATCATTTCTAAGCAGTTATAATTTCTCGGAACAAATTTTGTACTCCAAAATAATACCTAGTTCCTCAAAACTGACTTTCTTTTATAAATACTTCATGTAATAACTTTTGATAAAATAACCAAATATTTTCCTTTTTCTAGATCAGAAAATATAAAAGCAGTGAAAAAATCAGGAAAAAAGCCGAGGTTATTTATCATAAATTTAAGAATCTCTTTTTGGTTGCTGAAGGAGAATCTTTTTCTCAGGTAGGCTAATTTTACTGCACTTTTAAATAAAATGTTGTTTTCCTACATTCAAATTAATTGAATACTTCAAAGATTTATTCACACACACACACACACACACACACACACACACACACTTTTTGGTCAGGGATTACTTCCTACCTGCTGCTTGTACAGTGCAACCTAGATCAACATGATGCTTGTTAATTTGAGTGGAGATGGGTGCTGACAAGTAACCTCATAACCCTGTGAAGTTCCATGAAGTGCCCAGCATAGTACCTTGATGTATTATGTCACTGATTTGTTTGCTGCACTTTTTTGAAAGTATTGAATTTCAACATAGATCTCATTGTGTCACTAATAATAGGCATGATATCAGCAATCAAACATTTTTGTGGGTAGAAACATGAAATTTGGAGAATTATTTGCAGAGATTAAATTTGTTTAGCTGAATGGTTTCATTTCCTGCTGCTAAAGCTTTTTAATCTGCTTTATTTCTTTCTTTTTTTTCTTTTTTTTCTTTTTTTTATTAGCCATTACTAAACAGTAAAGCTCCATCTTTTTTCAGATAAGTTTGATTATAAATGTCCACTTGAATTATTTTGTTATCCCAATGTTCAAACAGGTTCTTTTAATTTCTTCATTGTTGTAGGTGTTCAGTCGTGAAGCTGCAGAATTTAAGAAGCAGTTAGAAAAGGAAGAACGAGAGCGAAAAGACAAGGAAAATAAAGAAAATGAAATTAAGCCAGGTGATTACCTATTTACAATAAGGTTCTTTTTCTTTTGTTTCCTCTGAATGGTGCTTAGTTTTATATATATATATATATATATATATATATATATATATATATATATAGCGCAAAAAGTACCCATTTTACAGAACTGTATTGTTCCCTAATATAATTATTCTTGTATTTGAGTAAGTAAATCATGTCATTTCAACAAAGGCATAATATATACAGTAGTTTAATATTGTTTTTAAAATCTATAGTCATTGTTTATTTGGGGATATAATCAGGAATTGGTTTATATTTCACACATTTTCATTTATATTAGTATATTTTTATAGAAATATTAAGCTGTGAATTTCACATTCTAAGTACATGCCCAAAACTTGTCATTTATTATCAGTGCACTGATAATAACTTTTAAAGCTATTACCATTAACAGATTAGTGTAATATAAGAAATCTTAGAGGGTATTGTTTTATCAGCACTGAAAATGTTTCAAGAGGAAGGAGTTTCTTTTATGAGGTGGAGGATTATTCAGGCTGGTTGAGAAATAACTGCTTCTTAGCATTTAAAAGATAAAAGTAACTCAATTTGGTAATCAAGTCAGAATTTTATTTAGTATATTTTTATATCTTATTTCATTTTTTTTAAATTGTTTATAAATATATGTAAATTTGTTTTCTTTTTATTAATATGTTGTTTTTTGTTTTACTTTAGCTGAAGGGAAACTTGAAGTGGAAAATAAAGAAAATGTCAACTCTTTGGAAAAGGTTGATAGCAGCATGGAAACTTCAGCTACTGTGGATTCTAATGTTTTGGATGAATCTGTCAAAGAAGATGCTAAATCTGTCACTTCAAATAATGAAGAAGCGAAATCTGCTTCAACTGAAGTAACTGAAAATAGATCTGAGACACCTCAATTATCTGGGCAAGCTGCATTAAATGTTGCTGCTCCACCAGCTGGGGACAATGTTGCAGCAACAACTGGACAAGAGAAAAAGACTGTAGACTCTACCTCACCTGTGATGCCATATTCTTCAGCTACTGTTGCCACCATAGACAAATTGATTTCTAACTTAGATGATAAAAATGCTACTGAGTTGCGAAATAATGTTTCAGCAGGATCTGATAGCACTTCATCTGCTACGACCACCACCACTACTACTACTGCTGCTGCTGCTCCAACACTGACAGCAGCTACAGCTGATAATGCGAAAAATATCCCAAGCAGTGACCCTGCTGCTCCAGTTGCATCTCTGGCCAGTGTGCCTGTTAAAAAAATATTTGATAATGTAGACTCTGTAAATGCTCCAGCAGCAACATCAGCAACAGCATCTGGAATGAATCCTAGAACGAGGACAGATGAGATGCATGATAGCATTCCAGGTGTGGCTACGTCTTTGCTATTGCAGCCGCTACCAACCTCTGCACACTTGGTGCAATCGTCGCAGCAGCAGCAACAACAGCCAGTGTTAGCTTCACATCCACAAGGTTCAGCTGCTGTTCAGCATCCGTTACAGTCGCTGCCGCCATTATCCTCACCATCACTTCATCATTCTGCTCCTCTCTCTCAAACAAGACAGTCAGATTTTTTACCTCAGACAAGCCACTTGTCTCCAGCACCGCAAACACTGCCCATTGTGGAACAGCAGCAACTGCATCAACAACAGAAGCTTTTGTCACCGCAGCAACAACAACTACCTGCGCTACACCAACCACACAAGCTTCAAATGGATACCTCTCCAATGTCCTTATCAAACATGCCTGGCCTTGCATCATCTCAGCTTTCCCATACCCAACAATCACATGTGCCATCATTTCAGTCATTAGTGCAGAATCAGTTGCTCCCGCTGCAACCATCTGGTGGTGGTACTACCCAAGTAGTTATGCCAGCTTCCCAATCTATGAGCCCTGCTTCAGCTGCAGTTCCAACATCGGGTCAAGTCAGCGGGCTGACCCACCTGCAACAGTCACATACTAACAGCCCAAGCCTGTTGTCACAGCCTCAGTCACATGTCTCTTCTAGCATCCCTACAACAACCAGTGCCACCACCACTTCCATGCCTCCTCACTCTAACACTGCTTCAGCTACTACTCCTTCATCAATGTTGGGACAGCTGTCCTCTATCCAGCCACACTTCTCTTTGGAAAGCAGTCAGTTATCACACTCAATTGGGCCAAGCAGTCTATCCCGCAAGGTGGACCATCACCCACAACAGCAGCAGCCACCACAAAAATTTGTTCCTGTTGCTGACTTCCGAGATGAAGATGATGACATGCTAGAGGTAAAATATTAATTACTGTAATTCTTAATCTTAATTTTTACATGTGAAGATGTAAGAAATAATATTTAATCAGCAACTTTGAATTGTAGTGAAAGCTTCGATAGTTTATTTGACAAATTTGTATTGTCAAGCATTGAAATAGAAATAGTTTGTCTACATCCAGACACACATTGAATATAAAACCATGTTTTGTGTTTGAAATGAAATATTAGATATCAATGTTGTTTTCTAAGCAAATGCAAAATTTAAAGGGGGGTGGCACGTCTTTGTAGCAAAAATGAATACTGCTAAAACTAAGTAGTATACTTTTTTTCTTTCTTTACACTATCATTCACCAAATATAAGGCCCAAAGGACACTCAAGGTAGAACATTACTGAATGGGTTTATTTTAATGGATGTAAGAATTGTAGATTATGAAGATAGGTAGAATAGATGGTGGTTGATCCTGGACTCGAAGTTAAAATTGTAGTGGTTAGAGAAGCAGAAAAACTAATTAATTTCACAGTAACAAATGAACAGTGGTTGAGATTTCAATATCAAACGTAATAAAAATAATATTTATAATAGTGAAAGCTTAGATAATACCCACTGAAAGAAAGTTCCTGGTCAAGAATCATAACCAAAATATATTTATTTTACTACAGTTGATTAAAATGAAGAAATTTCTTGTTTTTATGAGGTTTTATTGTATTTTTGTTTGTTATTTTATTTTAAGAATTAGTCTAATTTTTTTCCCCACTGAAAAATAAAACCTAAATTCCATATGAGAAAAAATATATTTTGTCATTATTTATCATTTACCAACTTTCAAATCAAGTGCAATACTACAGTTCCAAAATCAATCTGCCCTAATGGTTCATATATATGAGTTCTACAATGTTTGGGGTGAACTTAAATCCTAGTAGACACTCAAATCAAGGAGCCTCTTTGAAAGTGCAACCATTCATCCTGATCAGTGAGAATTCAGGGTCAGCTTGGTGATGGTGAAAGTTACAAACTTGGTTTTGGAAGTATTGAAAGTTACAAACCAGTTTTTCCATCTATTGAACTGTTAAAGCTAGATCAGAGGAGAGATCAACTGCCAGGATTTGATCTAGATTTTTGGAGGTGTACCCATGCTATCATCTGGATAGGTATTTACAATCTGAGAATGTTCTTGGGAAGATCATTAATATAAAACAAAGAGGGTAGGCCCAATGAGTAACCTTATGCGATGCCTGCATTTATCTAATGGGCTTCAGAAGACTGACCATTCACAACAATCTGCAAGGATCTATCCAATGGGAAAGACTATTCCAGAGATTCCATAGCTGGAGAGTTTGTGTAGCAATTATCTATGCTATGCCTTGTCAAAGGCCTTTGAGATCTCTAAGGCAATCACTTTTGTTCTAAATTTATTTTTCATGTGCCTTACTGATTCTGTGTTTTAAGACAGGACATCAACAGTGGACCTAGAAAAACGAAATTCATACTACTTGTCATTCAGGAGGTGGTTTCTGCTGAGCTCTTCAACAACCTTCTTATTGATAAGTTTACTGATGACACTAAGTAGGCGGCTGAATTAATATTGAGATTGGAATGAGCACTCTCCCACATTCTTGGAGACAGCTTTTTGCTTTGAATTTATTTTTTCACACTTAACCTGTTAAACCTATAGTTCTAGTACAATGCATTTGTGCCTATTCTCTGAAAAGAATTACACAGCCTAACCTGTATGTAGAATAAAGTGGTTTATACAAGTATTGGGTTATCCAGAAAATTCATACCCATATTATTATTATTATTATTATTTATTTTTTTCTTTTCTTTTCTTTTTAGGGAAATTAAAACAAAACAAAATTATGCCATTAAATATTTATTCAACTAAACCTTTTTGTTGCACAACCTTTCTCCATTTTTCCTTCAACTTAGATTCCATCTTCCCAGAATTTTGGTGGTTTCTCTGCAAAGAACTCACTGAGGTGTTTTTTTTTTTTTTTTTTTATATATATATATATATATGTCATCCAAAGAATTCAATTTTTCACCATTTGAGATTATTTTGCAAGGACCTGAATAAAAAGAAACATGAGGTCTGGCATTATCCTGATGGGAAACAATACCTTTCCTGTTTGCCAATTCTGGGTGTTTTTTTTAATTTGCTGTCCTCTTGCAAGCAGTACTTTTCAGAATCAGTTGACTGTTTACTTGGCAGAAGCTCATAATACAGGATTTGTTTACAATCCCACCACATGCACAGCATAACTTTTTTAGGATGAAGACATGCTTTCGAGTTGACTAAAGTTGACTCATGTCACTTACCTCAGGATCTTTTTTGCTGAACATTGTTGTAAATGATAGATTTCTCATCACCCATTACAATTTGCTTCAATAAGGGTGCATTTTCATTGCGTTTATACAGCAAATATCAGATGTAAGATTCTTTTCACTCAGATCATGTGGTACCCAAGCATCATAGTGATTTGAGTACTCAAGCTTCACGGTTGGTGGATTTTGATAAATTTAGTGTTTCTGCTAATTCCTGCATTGTGTAATGCGGGTTATTCTGTCTTGATTTGGTCTTTGGTTGTCTTCTGTAGTGGGGGACGGGGTCTGCCTGAGTGTTCTTCATTAATAAGGCTACAATCACCAACACTAAACTTAGAACTGTATAGAAGTGGTTCGCTATCAGCTAAACCACCTGTGCCATACACAGCACATCTTTTTTGTTTCTTGCGATGCATTTCTGCCTTTATGGTAAAAAAAAAAAAAAAGCATCAAGTGTCTCAAATGCACCTTATAATCTTCCATTTTCATAGGTATGCAAAATTGACATGAATTAAGTAATTTTATACTTTCAGAGATAGTTTGAAATGTGCTCTAATCGGTAATGTAAGCACATTTGTCGATAAATTGGATGTGTTCTAACGTGTGAAACATGAACAACTAAACATCGGCATGAACTTTCCGGACAACCCAATAACTTTGTATTAGCTAGTTGCTGCTCTTTACCACTGATTTTGCTCTGTTCTATAGGCTGTTCTGAAATAGTGAAATTAACCCCCAAATCTCCTGGTGATAGTGTATTGGCAATTGGTCAGGTCTCTGGGTTCAGTGTATGAAAAGAAGTTATGTTTGCTATTATTTCTGTAGATGTTAATAAGACAGAAAGTTGTTGATATTTAATCTTATCAAATGTTTAATTCAGGAAATTGAATAAGATAATCTAAAATCTAATGTTTTACAATACAGAATATGATGTAAGCTAAATACATTTCCATTTGCTTTAACAGAGATTCTTTTCCTTATCTTGTGAATTTGCTATAAACACACAGTTTATAAATTGACATACCTAACCATATTCATGTATTGGGATCTTTTTCAGGTTTAAATTATAGTAACAAAATATGATTTACTTTTCTTTTGAATGTTGTTGTTTTTTTTTTGTTTTTTTGTTTTTTTGTTTTTTTTTTTGTTTTTTTTTTTTTAAGCCTTTTACAGATGATTCAATATTTTACAAGAACCACAATAAAATATTTTACTTCAAAAGGTGTGAAATTATAAAAAAATTTTCAAAATACTTTTATTAAACTCATTTTTGCAAAATCTAGCATCAAGTAGTAAGTGTTGTGCATATAAACCAGCATTCAATCATCTAATGACTTAATTATGCATTAATCTTTTTAGTGTCATGTTTGCTTGCTGTACATTCTGGCCACGATCAGCTCTGTCAGACTAAGTAATATGAGAATTTGGAATCCAACCTTTTATTCAATTCACTTGAATTTCATCCTATTCTTCATGCAAGCAGACATCTCATCTATGTTAGTTCTTGTAATGTTACCTTGACTCTTTCTACTCGGAGCATGCAATTTTCATGACTTGATCCAGGGATTGAACTCAAAATTAACATGCAATTCAAAAACACATTTATTCATGAGACCCTTGTCAGATAGTGAACTTTTGGAACTTTAAATCTAATACCTGTAATTTCTGAATCAGGAGTTCCTATATTGCATTCATTTTTCTTAGATTAGTCTGCTTAGGATGTTACTAGAACATAACATGTGCTGACTCTTTCAGTAATCTTATTTTCCAATGTTACTCTCTAACTATTATAAAGCTAATTCTGTGGGTTGAGGATTCCATTTTTAAGTCCTATGTTTAGGAGTTTTTAGTCTGACTTCCTTCTGTATTTGATTAGGAGAACATATGTTTACAATTCCAAAATTCTATTTGAATGTTCTACATGGTTATCATGAGTTTGGTTCTCAGGTCAGTAAAAGTCCTATATTTTATGTGTTAAGTAGAAAAAAAAAACAAAAGCATTGCCACAAGCAAGAATTAACTGATATAAGATATCTCCACACATGGACAACAGAATGAGAACATTTATCCCTGTAGATTAAAAGGAATTTGGTTCAAAATTTCCAGAAGATTATGTATGATAGAGGGAATGAAAAAGATTAAGTCAGTAATTGAAATAGATTAATTGCTCATCTCTATAATGAGAAATAATATGATTTTGTTTTCATCAATGAGCATTTTTATGAAATAATCTTTGTTTCCTTCTCATCATTGTGTGTAAATCTCTTGGAATTTTCTTGTTTTCTTTACTTAGGAGCACCGAGACTTGGAAGCACGTATTGCCCAAATCATCAAAGGAACAGAATCTTATGGTTATGAAGACACTCAGCATGCTGCTAGCCAGTATGAACAAAATTCAAAGAGTAAACATTCAACAGAAACCACAACCTACTCAACTGCAACCAATGCTGATGATGATGAGGAAGAAGATGAAGAGGAGGAGGAAGAGGAAGATGACGATGATGATGAACCGGTGATGGATGATGAAGAGTTGCACAGTTTATTGGGCGTTTAAGAACAAAACAGTAGTGTTTCTCAACAGATTGGTGGTAGCATTGGTAACATCTATAACAATGTCAGTTTACTCATTGTTATTGCCATGCCAATGCTGATTGATGGACTGGTAAATAAGATTTGCAGCGGTGTCAGAGATTGTAGCCAACCAGATAGGCCATGACTGCCACTCAAAACAGATTTTTATAATACTTGAGTTGTTGGTATGACTGCAGCAGCAGCAGTTTGGCTACATGTATTTCAACAACTTATTTCTATCTCCCATTTCCTAATATTTTTTTTTCCTAAATCTGGATGGCCACTCTGTTCCTGCTTGATCTACAACCAATTCTGCTGTGACCAGCCTCTTCAAGATGGCGCTTCTGCTTTGGTCTGCAACAGCCTCCATCTCTTGCTCCTTTTATTTTTCTTTTTAAATTTTTTTTCTCATGGAAAGGAAAGAAAAACCTTTTTAACTAAAAATTTGAAAACAAAATTCTCTTGATCTTGTTTTTCTGATCAGATGAGAATATTTCTTCCTTTGACTAACAAAATGGAGGAGGAAACTAAAAATCCTTTTTAAAAAGTAAAAGTTCAAGAATTTTTTTATTTTTTTTTTATTTTTTTTTTATTTTTTTTTAAAACTGGTTTCTTCCTTTCAACCCCCCCATTTGACCATGATGCTACTTGTTGCATGTGGACAGTTATCATTTTTTGGAGAGCCAAGATAGAGACCGAGTAAGTTCCAGTGGAATTTTTTATTTTTATGTCAAACTTGTTCTTTGGATAAGGAGAAGAAGATATTTCTGTATTGAAATCAGTTAATGATAAACTTGCTTTGTGATCTTTTTCAATGTTGGAAAAAGAAAATAGAATAAATGGATTTGTTTTTTTCTCTTAAACAACTTTGATAAGCAATGATAAAACCTGTTGTTGGATTTTCAGTTGTTCATAACAAGCAGACAGATCAATACACAGTAGATGAGACAGTTTGTAATTCCAATTGACTGTTAACTGTTTTCTTGGTCATCTTTACAAAGAAAAAATCAAAAAGAAAAAAGAGAGGAGCAATGTATTTGTAGATATTGAACAGTTGGTTGTATGGTGGTCTTGACCTCCAACACTGTCCTCAAGAGAGGAGAGAAGAAAGTTAACATTAACTTGTATATAGGACAATGTCAGTGCTAGCCACTGGTGTTATGTGCTAGGCTGCCAGTGGATTCTTCTGTAATCTACAACAGACTTGCATCTCATTCACTCTCATTTTTTTTTTTTTTTTTTTTTTTTTCTTCTTGGAGAATGTCTTTCTCTTTCCAAATGACAAACCCCCACCCCTCCATTTTCTAAATTAGATTGAAGTGGACTCTAGTTTGCATCAATTTTGTCCTGGTGACAACATTTAGTGCACATTTTAAACACACAGCTGCTACTGCTGTTGCCACATTTCACTGGTAATTACTAAACAGTAAGCTGCTCAATTATTACAAACACAAACATGGTTTGCTTTCTCCGTTTTTAGCCTATTATAGAGCACCAATTCTAAAAAGAAAAATGAAATCAATTTCTGCAACATGTGATGTCTGCCTTTTTTTTTCTTCTTTTTTTTTTTTTTTTTTTTTTTTTTTTTTCTTCTTTTGATAGGTACCTGACATATTTACATTCAGTGGATTAAATATTTTTGCATTAAATTTTTTTTTTTTTCTTTTTTTTACCCCTCCCTCAATGATTTTAGAATGGTGGGAAAGAGAGGAAAAAAATGGGATGAAGGACACGCTAAAAAAAATGTCCTTATCTTTTTTTTCTTTTTTCTTTTTTTTTTTTTTTTTTTTTTTTTCTTTAATAGCAGCAGCAATGGAAAATTATATATCTTTGTCTGCCTGTGGTTTTTGTTTGTACATTTATTCCTGGTTGTTTCAAACCTGGCATTGAAGAGAATGCAAATTAATGATATCTACACATATTTTTAACAACTTGATCTCTCTTTGTTCAAATCATGCAGGCACAACCTACCAGTGACCTTTTTTTTTTTTTTTTTTTTTTTTTTTTTTTTAGAATTAATATAGGGATTTTAAAACAAGTGTAGAGGATTTTTAATACTTATTTTTATATGTATAGGTGAACTTAATTTACTTGTTTTTACTTTCGTTGTATGTTATTTTCTTATATACATGTAATCTCCTATAGTATAAGATTTTTTTTTATAATTAGTGGCAACAATTTTATGGCTGGAAATTTCAAATAACTGCTGATTCAATGAACTTTTCTTATGTTTAATTCAGTCCAGAATTTTCAGCTAAATCTTAATATAAGTTTTAAAGATATGTTTTAAAGATATGTCTTAAGTTTGTTTTTTGTATGCATTGTCATAATTTGAACTTTACCAACGAAATCCACTGACCTTATATATATATATATATATATAATGTCTCTCTCTCTCTCGTTGCTCTTAATTTTATTTAAATAAACAAAAAATGCAGAGTGACTTGGCTCAAAATTTGGCATATTTTCTTTGTGAGAATGAGAATGAATTCCATATAAAACTTTTTCAAGATAATGTATAGAATGCATTAGTTCACTCTGAAATCATTCAATAATTATTTACTGATATGAGAAATAAAATCTAAACATTTGAACACTTTTCACATTTAAAATTGAAGCAGTTGACTTTAAAAAAAAAAAAAAGAATCAAATACAACTCTGTGCATTATAACATTCTCTAAAAACCAGTTTATTTTCTCAAGTATAATCTAAGATATATTTATAGGTTCAGATATTGTGCTATTAAAATTATTTTTCCTTTTCCAAATTTTTTGTTAAAACTTTATTTTCTGTAAAAACATTTTGTGATTGCTAATATTTAAAAATCAAGAAAAAAATTGCAAACTTGGTTAATAAAATGCTAAAAAGAACTGCAGGATACATATTGGCTCATATGACTTGAATTAAACCAATTTCTTTATCAAAATAATTCACCTTTGACCTCCATTTATTCAGATTTCTTAACAGATAACTATTCTGTATACCAGATAATTACAAATTAATCTGCAAATAATTGGTTAATCTTTTTTCTTTTTCTTTTTTTTTTTTTTTCTTTTATTTTAAAAAAATATTTTTAGTTGCATTTCTCTTGATCTTTACTTGAAAGTAAATTTTTAGCTTCATTTTTTTTTTTTTTTTTTTCCCCTCTCTGAATTGATTGGTATACCCAAACTTGTATCCACATTTTACCTTTATATTTATGTTTCATCACTTAACATTTTTCATTTTCTTTTTAAAAAAGAAAATGGAAATGATTCTAGTTTTCCCTTCTGTCACTCTTAATATTGTTAATTAGTTAACATTATCCCTGTCTCTTACCATGAAGTCTAGAGAGCAATTATTAACTATTAAGTAGAGAATGATAAAACCTTTTCATCCTTATCTATAAATCTGTTTTTTTTTTTTTTTTATTTATTTTTTTTCATAAGAATAATATACAGCCAAATAAATGTATGCTGCAGTTGTGCTATCAATAAAACCAGAATCTAAAAGAACTATTTTCATAAGTCTTTTTTTTCTTCTTCAGTGGGCAAATTTTAGTTGTAAAAGCTTTGTAAGTTATGTAAATATCATCTTTTCCTTACTGGTTGATGCCATTTTCCAAAAAAGGAAAGGTAGATATCTATGCCAATTAATCATAAAGCACTTATGACTAATAATGATAATACAGTTCTAATTTTATAGGATTATCGGTTCCTGATGTTTTTGTTCCTTCATGCATGTCTCATCAAACTCTTGTTTTTGTTAAAAAAAAAAAAAAAAGCAAAGGACACTCTTTTGACATTTTTCTATTTTCATTAGTTGTATTTTTTCTTTTGTTTCTTTTTTTTTTTTTTTTTTTTTTTGTTAGTGCAATGCTATCCCCCCCAATTTTCCTTTGTTAACAGTTATTGTCCTGTTTTTGTTATGGGTTTTTCTACAACCAAATAACCAACTGCTGTCTGATTTAAATATCTCTGTCATCAGTTGGAGACCTGTGATTTAACTGGTTTTTATTTTTCATTGGAAACAAGTCTGTTTTTTTTTTTTGTTTTTTTTTTTTTTTATTTAAGAACTAAAATACATCCATATTGCTCAATAAAAAGAAATTAAATCTGTCTTTAAAAAAAAATCCAACTCTTGATTATGTAATTCTTGAAAGTGTCAACATGTAATGCTTCACTGTGAATTATTTTACTTTGAGCCTTTCTTAATATGGTAACTATTTTCTATAATGGCAATTATCAGTAATTGCCATCACCTTCCATGATCAAATATTAGAATTTGAATGGTGGAAACTTTCACTTGTTTACTATTTTTCACCTTTCAAGCTGCAGCTGGACATTTTTGTAATAGCTTGGGGAGAGGGGGGGGAGTAAATCCTCCTGTGTCAGGGGAGTTAAATCCCCCTGTGTCGGGGGAGTTAACTCAGTCTTATAGCATGACTAAGATTGACATTTTGTTATGAAGAAAAACACCAACTACTGTTCCTCTTCCATCAGTCTCTCTCACATGCACATAATAAACATTAAATTGTATGATACACTTGTGGAAAAAAAAGGCCAATTGGTTCTTTTGACAATGCATAAATTTCCATCATTAAAAACTGTTCTTGTAACATTCTCATTCCTATACAAGAGACATTTATCAATGAATTGCCTATTCATCACTTTCTGAACAGCAATTATCAAATGCAGAAAACTTATAAAATAAACAAATTATTCCGTTTCTGGTTTTCTTTAACTTTTATGATAATTTTTAAAGTTTCAATTATACTGGAAATAATTTTGTCAACAAAATGCAGCTAAAATGTATTGGTGTTTTGAAATAGAAATTGGTATATTCACTACCCACTTTGTTTCTAAAAAAGCCTCTTTTTTATTTCTTAATTCTGTCTGTTACTATGGATTTTTTAATCAGTCTAATTTGTTTATGCCTTATTGCATGAATTAATATCTCCAA